TCGGACCAAATTCTTAGGCTACACGTATTTATGTCTTATTGAGTAAGTGAGGCAGTAGCCAAGCTTTTAATAAGGTAATAATCTGGATATATCAACAAAGTCGAAATGGTAAATTGGCCACCGTAACGATTACAAAAGCTGACGTTTCGAGCGTTAGCCCTTCGTCGGAGCGAATAGAGGAATTGTGGGTTGTGTGTGCTTTTAAAGGCAGAAAATAGAGCTACGTTATTGGTGGGGACATGGCAACGAGAAAAACATGAATAAATTAGTGGAATGAAAAGCGTTCGTTCATCCCTGTGGGATTTAGACTGCCGGTTTGAAAGATGAGCTTTTCTTCGAGATTATTTCAGAAAATAAGATATGGCAAAGCCACAACATCGAGTGCCAAGATCACAAGTTATGACCCACGTGCCCCAGCAAATAGGGATGTAGACACTCAAGCTTTGGCATTAATTGGAGAAAAACTGTCTAACTGTTTACAAAGCAGCAGCTGTTTTCTCTTTCACAATATTAAGCCATCAGATTCTTTTTCAATTCAAATTGAGAGTATCTGCGAGTCCATGAGTCCATTCCTAATGATGCAACTGATGTAAATGAGCTTGAGCATGCTAAAGTTTGTTACTGAGATGTTCCATTCAATGATGACTATAACATTAATAGCAAAGCATTTAAGCAAATTATTGACTGTTGTGTTGAAGGACAAGAAATATCTGATGAGGAAATTAAATACATTGAAAGGGAAACTAGATATCAGAATGAGAACAATGCATGAAAAAAGTTATGAGAAACCGTTCTAACTGCTTCCAACTTTAAGAAAGCTATTATCAGAAGCCAGACCTCCTTCTGAAAGATATAATGTACAAAAAAGAAAAACAAGAAGTTGTTCCATCACTTGACTATGGGATACAACATGAAAAGGATGCTGTGGACTGCTATGTTGCTCTTCATCATTTAGCAGGCAATACCAAGCTTACAGTGACTGAAGTGGGTACATATATATCCAAGAAAACATCAGGTCTAGGAGCCAGCTTAGACAGACTGGTGTATGATCTCTCCTCCACAAGAGTGTCACAGAGGCTTGCTTGCAGTGATAGTTCTATCTCAAACTTGTAGATGGACACCCAGTTTCAAAAAGAGCGCATGCATATCAGATCCAAGGACAAATTTATGTCTGTAATCTACCATGGGTAGACTTTCTTGTGTGGTTTGGCCATGATGATGTTGCTGCCCAAAGAGTTCAATTTGACCGTAAATGATGGCTAAAGGAAGCAATGCCTGCTTTGACGTACTTCTACAAGAAGGCTTTCTTGCCAGAGGTTTTCACCAGGCGAGTGAAACGAGGAGTTCCCAGGTACAGACATTGTGGCTGGTCTTATTATGGACAATCTAAAAGACTAAGGTCCTCATAATTAATTAGTTTAAATAGATTAGAGTCAAGACACTAATAAATTGTCATATGCAATCATTTTCTTGTTGATTAATTACTGATTTCTAATAGCTTGCTTGTGAACAGACCTTGGATGAAATGTTTGTAAGTGTTCTTATATTCATTATAGATATAACTTTTGCAGCATTTGTGTTTGGATGGCTGATCTATAAATATTTATGTTTTAAATAATATTCAATTTAATATTTTACAACAGTAAAGTAAGAAAACATTTTCAAAATAAGAAAAATTCCCAAAATCTTCTTCTCTCATTTTAATACTGTAAAAATGTTTTATTCAAAGGATTGCAGTTTAAAAAATATTTTTCTCAGTGATTGTTAAATAATAACTCCACTCAATGTTTATGTTTGCAAGTGAATGATTAATAACTATACCCATACATTACAAT